CGAACCCTCAGAATCCTCAGGCAGATCCGGCAATCTCAGCGACCCTAGCCGAATTGAAGGATATGATGGTTAAATTCCAGAAGAAAGCTGACGATCAAGGAAAAGCTAACAAGACCTTGGCGCAGCGAATCGACGAAATCGCATCCCGTGGGCAACACAAAACCACGCGTTTCCAGACTCGGTCGCTACGAGCCCGGAGGGACTTGCCTGGCATCAACCCAACAAGGCTCACGTTCGCGACGCCAACCGACAACACCAGAGTCTCAACCCGAGCCAACCCTGCCTGACGCTAAAATCAGGATGAGCCCGCCGAGCCAAACGCAGTGGACCTGACGAACGAGCCGGATGATCCGCATGAAGAGCGTACCCAAACCAGAGTTAATTCTGCCGAGCGAACTGATCTCACAGATGACGAGGAAACCGAGGAAAACATAAGGTGGACCGAAGATTCTGAAAGAGAACGCGAACTCGGCGAGATCCGAGCCTCCCTAGCCAAAGCGGAAGCCGATATGAAGCTCGTCAAAACCCAGATACATAGCGTATCCTCCTCAGCACCTAATATCGACCGAATCTTGGAAGAATCTCGGAATACGCCTTTCACCAAAAGAATTTCCGAAACGACGATGTCCAATCTGGGAAAGTTCAAAATCGACTCTTACAACGGATCAACCGACCCGAAGGGTCACATTAAATCATTCGTGATATCCATGGCCCGAGCCAAGTTCAAGCCCGGAGAGAAGGATGCTGGTCTGTGCTTACTGTTCGTGGAACACCTCAAGGGAACCGCATTGGATTGGTTTTCAAGACTAGAACGAAACTCGATTGACAATTTCGACGAGCTGTCAACACTTTTCCTCAAGCAATACTCTGTGTTGATCGACCCCGGGACGTCCGACGCAGATCTGTGGTCTCTCTCTCAACAGCCCAGCGAGCCGTTAAGAGATTTTCTCACGACTTTCAAATCGATGTTAGCCAAAGTTGAAGGAATCACAGACGTAGCCGCCCTTTCGGCTTTGAAGAAAGCTCTCTGGTACAAGTCAGAATTCAGAAAAGAGATGAACCTATCCAAACCTACTACAATTCGCGACGCGCTGCATCGAGCCTCACATTTCGTCGCCCACGAAGAAGAAATGGAGCTACTAGCGACGAGACACGAGCCGACAAAGCAAGCATCCAGAACCGAGAAAGCCCAAACAGGACCGCCGAGCCAGAAGAAGCCGAATCAGAGTGAAACGTACACACACCACGAGGGGCATGTTTTCTCAGGAGCCCACAACTATCAAGTCGACGTAGGCCGAGGCCAAGGCCGTGGGCGAGGAAGAGATTCGTTCACTTGGACAAGAAGTCAACCCCCAGGTGACGAAAAAGAATACTGCGAGCATCACAAGACCTTCGGGCATCACACTTCCAGATGCAGGAGCCTCAGAGCAATATTAGCGGCCAAATTTCTAGTCGGAGAGCTTGGGACGAACATAACCCTCAAAGACCTACAGCCATAACAAGTTCAGCCCGAACAGGTGGACACATCAAGGGGTCCCGAGCCAAGGGAGCCAGAGGCTCCGAAGAGAATCCGAGGAACATCTGACGAGGAGCATGACGGAACACGGCAAAGAATCCACACGATAATGGGAGGATCAGCGTTTTGCCCCGATACCGTAGCCGCAATCAAAATCTATCAGAGACGAGCCGAAGCACCCATCAACTGGTTAAGGCCATTCGACCAACCTAACGATGTAATCATGTTCGAAGAAAGTGAGATAAATGGGCTCGACAGGCCTCATAACGACCCTCTGGTCATCACGCTTGCCATCGGAGATCACGACGTATCAAGGGTGTTGATCGACACCGGCAGCACTATTGACATAATTTTCTGCGAGACGCTTCGAGAAACGAACATCAACATGTCACAAGTAAACCAGACTCCGAGCCGACCATCTACAACGCTATTATGGGCACCCCATGGTTAAACCTAATGCGAGCCGTCGCCTCGACATACCATCTCTGCTTGAAGTTCCCGACGCCTAACGGTGTAAAAACGATATGGGGAAGCCAAAAGAATTCCAGGATGTGCTTCATGGCAGGACATAAACTTCGGAACCTCGTCGCCGAATCTAAAGCCGAGGTCAATCTTAAAAAGGCAAAGATCGGCCAAAGCAAGGAGAAGTACCCCGAGGAAAAGAAGGCGGCCGAAGAGAAGAAAGCTCTTGAGGACATTCTCGGGACTCTCGCTCCTCCTAAAGCGACCGATGAGCCTGAGGTGGAGATGACGAATCCTAACCCCATTGTCGACGCAACTTGTCCCCAGGAGGCCGAGACTGTCCTAGCCGTGGATACACCTCAGGAAATACTACCGCTAAAAACCTAAGGTACGCGTAAATTTAAACTACGGGGTGGCTTGATCCCTAAAAAGGGTACGTAGGCAGCTCGTCCTCGGACGAGTTCAGCTACCCCCCGAATCAAAAATAGGGGGGAGTGGGGTCCGTATATCCATACTCCCACTCAAAATTTTAACGAATTTATTTCTAAGACTAACACCTCGGGGTTTATTCCTTTGAAGTAAACCCACGATCTTCACCCCGAAACTCGCCTCAGGAATTTAACACGGTCTAAACTCCGTTCGGTTCGTTTGGGCGATGGCCACGCCCGCGAACTAAATTCATCTGCACCTCCACGGTTACAGCGCGCTATATAAGCATTCGAGATAATTTGGTCGGAGATATCCGACCAAAGATGAAATTGTCTTCAGAAACCCCAGTAAAATCTTAACACTGGTGCCCTAGTTTGCTTCTAAGCACTGGATATTGACTATATCAGATCGGGTCGCAACCGAGGATGATTAAGTCGTAATTGCAGAAACCCAGTCACCTTAACACTGGTATACAGTTCATTTTTCTTTCGGTTTGGAAGAATAACTTCTACTTAACTGAAAACGATAAAGTCATATTCTCAGAAACCCAGTCACCTTAACACTGGTATACAGTTCATTTTTCTTTCGGTTTGGAAGAATAACTTCTACTTAACCAAAAACGATAAAGTCATATTCTCAGAAACCCAGTTATCCTAACACTGGTACTCAAGTGTTTAACTTAGTTCTAAACCTGAAACGGTTCGAAGGATTAAGAACGTCCTCATTCCAAGTCAAAAAGAGAAACACTTCGAATCACGAAAGCCGCTTCAAAAGAACGAGAAACGTTTCAAGAATACTTGCAAAATTAACGAAACATTCATGTTCGTTTGGATAAAGCCATCCTCACAATCTTACACTACAACAAAAAGAAAAAGAACGGTTCTAAGAGTGTCGCCTCATGTTCACTGGCGACTCGAAGCAGAAGTTAACAGCTCGGTCTGCTCGTTCATGAAGCTCGTTACACTTGCTCCCCAAGTCAACAAGCTGGGGGGCTAACTGTTGGGGTCGGATTTCAACCATCCTTTGAGACCGAGCCGAACTTCAACACCTCGGGTTATCTTTCTAATAAGCTCGGGATATCCTGCCAATCAGCTCGGGTACACCATCTAACAGCTCGGGTACACCATCAGACAGCTCGGGTACACCATCAGACAGCTCGGGTACACAATCAGACAGCTCGGGTACACCATCAGACAGCTCGGGTACACAATCAGACAGCTCGGGTACACCATCAGACAGCTCGGGTACACCATCAGACAGCTCGGGTACACCATCAGACAGCTCGGGTACACCATCAGACAACTCGGGTACACCGTCAGACAGCTTGGGTACACCATCAGACAGCTCGGGTACACCGTCAGACAGCTCGGGTACACCATCAGACAGCTCGGGTACACCATTAGACAGCTCGGGTACACCGTCAGATAGCTTGGGTACACCGTCAGCTCGGGTACACCCTAAGCGCCTCTGTTCTGGTTATATACGACACCGTCATCCCGTCCCGAGGCGACTTCACCCGTGTTCCCGAGCCGACCTCACCCGTGTCCCCGAGCCGACCTCACCTGTGTCCCCGAGGCGACTTCACTCGTGTCCCCGAGCCGACCTCACCCGTGTCACCGAGGCGACTTCACTCGTGTCCCCGAGGCGACCTCACCCATGTCCCCGAGGCGATTTCACTCGTGTCCCCGAGGCGACTTCACCCGTGTTCCCTAGCCAACTTCGCCAGAGCAGCCTCAGGTGCTTATCGGACAAAACACTCGAGGAGAAGTCCTAGTCACCCGAGGAGGAAGTCTTCATCATTAGTTGCCCGAGGCAAGGACTTAGTAAAATATTCACCTTCAAAGTACCATTTCTAAAACAAGGCATCATTTCCGAAAAAGAAGGATCATTTCCGAAATGCCCGGAAATGATAAGGGAGAATCTCGAAGGATCAACTCAAATCAGGAAAACTTCCGAAAACCCCGAAGAATAAGGAAACTATCCTACTCCGCGATATTCTAAGCCGACTTCAAGATAAATGGAAATCTTCCGAGAATATCGCTGGAGAGGCGGTTTACCATCCCTATATAAGAAGACTCAAGGCTCTCACAGAAGGGGAAGCAATATCGCTCTAGAAATTAGACTACACAAAGCTCTGAAGCACAAACACTTTTTCTTTTACGATCAAAATCATCTTTTTCCTAATAATATCAAGAACGCCATCTTTGGTTTCAATCCGTTCTGTTGTTCTTTGAGAATTCGCGTTTATTGTATCCCTAAAATAAAACCCTAGACAAATCTTGATTGTGTTAGTTTCGACTTCCACAAAGCTCATAGTAAAATTATTGGTGGATTGATTTCAACATATGTTGATTTCTTCGTCAATAATATATAGATGGTCAGTATAGCTCCATGTAGAATACTCCAAAGAATAATTAAAATATAAACAAGCTATGGTACGGAGGTATCAATTTTATGTAAGTCTTTTAGTTTTTTTTTGTTTGTGTATTTTCATTACGTTGCATGGATATAATAATTAAGCGTTGTTATTTATACTAAATTATGATCATTGATAATATGATATCGAGCGTTAGATTTGTGACTTGTATAGAATTTATCGTAATAAGGACCGAAGAAAACGAGTTTTCCATCCATGGCCTATCCAAGCTTTACTCTCTCCTCTTCTTTCGACTTTTTCTTGTGGATTTGGCTCTTTTTTGCACAGCAAGAAATTCGTTTCATCCATTGAACCTATCTTCTCTTGTGGATTTAAAGCTAACACCAAAACAATGATGAACAAAAAATCAAATACTTTCCGGTAATAACATAATGTTAAACTATATGATGATTAATTGTTATATATGAGAGTAAATCTTCAATAGAAGTCCAGCTTGATCCAGCATTCCTATGATTCTAAGAGTGGGGAAGGGAGATTTATGTAAAATACTGTTGAATCCGGCATTAATGGAGTAGAAAATGAAGTTATCGACATCGAATCCTAGAACCGGGATCCTTCCTTGACGAGCATAGGCTTTCAAAGTTGTGTTAATAACATTTGAAACTTCATCGTCCTCGTTTGCCAGAAATCTTATAGGACCAACACTTCCAAGAACATTCACACTCACCAACAACTTTTTATTCTTCCCTTTCATCACTCCTTTCACATTCCAATTATATTTATCTCCTTCTTTTTTGTATAGACCATTAGAGAACAATGAAACTCACTTGCTTATTGTATAAGTTTTATAGAGGCACAAAGGACGAGAAGAAAGACAACATGAAAGGTAAGTGTTAGGAGTTTCTTTCATTGAGACTCTATTGAGAAGAACCTTATAATATGCTTACATTCATATATATGTCCCGACACAATAAGTTAGAGAGATTTTATATCAAGATCACGAATTTTCCAATTATGGGGTTATCATAGATATGTGAAGAACCACTAAAGCGAGTCTAAATTATGACCTTCTCATAAAACTCTATCTTAAACTTCTTATGGATGCTCTAATAGCTTACTGTTCGAGTTGTTGTAAACCGTGTATGTTCCTCTCCTTCTCAAGATTTCCTATTTTTGCATTGAAACTATCACTCATGAAGCACGCTCCATCTCTTTGAGTACGTACACGAGATGTCGAGATCAATATTTTAAACAAATTCTCTTTCCACAACAGGAATTCTATAAAAACAAATTGGTAATGAATATATTGGTCTATGTCTCTTAGACTTTTATATACTCCCTCCGTTTCATAATATAAGGCGTTTTGGATAAAGTTTTTCGTTTCAAAATATAAGTCGTTTTCGAGTTTCAATACAAATTATATATTACTTTAATATTTTATGATTATTTATAATATTATGCAGTCTCTTTTATGATTGGTTGAACTTTTAAAAAGTAGATCTTTTTAATTGGCGTGCTTTTACTTAAAAAGACTTATATTATGAAACGGAAGAAGTATTATTGTTTTAGGCTTCATAACTTCATCTCATTTTCAATGTAAAATTTACTGCAAAACAAATGTTACACTAATTTTTTCGTTATTCAACAACATTATTTTATAATGGCATATCAACAATACTAATACAAACCACTAGTTTCTATTATGTTGGTTGGTTTTGTCGGGTTACTTGCGGTACCTCACGTAGCAGCTCTTTCAGTGTCCATATTTCTCGTCCGCAATAGCATATTGGGTTATCTTCAGCAAATTTTTGGGCCAAGCCCATTCTTGTTTTGAAACGAATTGATTTGACACTACTAGTCTTCGGTTCTTCTTCAAATGTATTTTTGTGAAGTTTGTTGGTTGTGCCAAAAATGTTGGGACATGTAAAATATTTTCACAAATTTTTAGTTATATATTTCTATTTGATTAATGTGACAGTAACATGTTTTACACATCAATAATCTGTTACGTCTCCTGGTTCTTTTTTGTTTACGCTATGCTTAAAAGTTAAAATTAATATATATTTGACATATACAAAAGTAAAGTATTATTATTGAAGTAAAAAAAAAAAGGTTTATTATAGCATAACGAAATGTTTTTGAATATATTTGAATTTGGTTTATTAACATTTCTGGATCCGCCACCGTCGAATTAATCTCCGGAAAGCTTTGTGGAAAGATGTCGATGGGAAGCGACACGACGTGGGTTGGGAAGAAACCGATCAGGCGCATCGGCGGATTGTCTGATGCTCTCTCTATCGCCTCTGATCTTGGTTTCGCCGTCGCTCCTCCTCCGTCGTAGGTAACTTACCAATCTCATCTCAATCGGAATTTCGTTTCCGGTTTAGCTGAGTATAGTGTATGCTCTGGGTTTTGCTATTAGATTGACTTTGCAGAACAATGCGTATGAGATCTGTAATTTGAAGGAGATTATGTTTCTGAGGAGTGAGGAATTTTAGCTGTGAGCTTTGCGAATCTCTGGAACATATGTTATGATTAGATCTTTGATCTCTTTGGCTTTAATATATTGAATCTGAGAAAATTTTGCCTGAATTAGAGAAGATTAATGGTTATTTATCTGTTTAATTAGCTACATTTTGTGAGAATTCGTATTCATATTGAATCGAGATTATGAGCTCAATCATTTTCAATGTAGGAAGAATTACAAAGCTTGGCGTCTTCAAATGGGGAAAGAGGTGACGATTTGATAAGGGTATTGAGAGAGTTATCTGCTGTTCAAAGGAAAATTGCAGACTTGCAGGTCGAGCTTCAAGGGAGGAATGTATCTTTTTCAGGGTTTTGTTTCTCTTTTAAAGTTAAATTAAGATATGTGCATTGCCTGAAGCTGTATGATAACTTATTGGTATATCTGTTACTAGTTTCGTTAGCTGCTTTGTATATAACTTTTCTTGTTGACGAATTTCAGGATGATAAAAATGTGGCGCATTTGACTCATGTGAGTGAAATGCAAAAGAAAATCGAGACTTTGTCAATGATAACTCAGATATTGAAAGATGTTATACAAAACAAGGTAGATAATTTCTCCTTTTTACTTGCCTCTAACACTCATTTTTTCTTTTCTTTCTGGAATAAGGTTTATGTATCTTTCGAGTTCGTTTATCTATATTTTCTTCCTTTAAGCCATATCCCTCTTGTTCAGTACCTACTCTATCGTTCTGAAAATTGAGAAACTTGCTTAAGATGTTTTGGAAACATTTGCTTCTGAGGACGTCTTAAGACTGCAATTGTCTTTGATTCAATTCGTGAACCACTTGTTGAAGTCTATTATATCACTTGTCTGTTCATATAACAGGATCGCATCATTGCTCGTCTCCAACAACCTTATTCGCTAGATTGCATTCCAGTTGAAGCAGAATATCAGGTGATTCATGCCATTTTATACTATTTGCAACTTTGAGGACCAACTAAACCGTATTGCTCTAGTTATCCTAAACTTGATTATTATCTGAAGTTGCACAGCTGGAAAACGAAGATGCTATGTTTAATGGCTTTGTTCTGCATTGTCTTTCAGAAACAATTCTCAGAGTTGCTAATGAAAGCCGCCAGTGATTATGGCGCCTTAACAACATTAGTGTCTGATTTTCAGTGGAGCCAAAACTTTAAAGAACCTCCTTCAGTCTGGGGGGTATGATTTTACTCTCTTTTACATGCATCTTGTTTTTTGTTTTCCATTTACATCGTTCAGACATAACTCCACATGTTTAGTTGCATACATTGAATTACTCATCTCAGTTCGAATCTAAGAAATTGTTCATAGTGTTGTAATAGGTTACACTACGACATGCTATTGCGTAAACTGTATATAGCTCATAGATTACATTGCAGAAGGATCAGTTGTGTCATCAGGGCCTTGAATTAGATTTCTATGTTTTTAAACTCTTTGCATCAAGAGAGAAAGAGATTGCTACTTTTATGTAATGTGTTGCATAACAGTTGATTTCGGTTTTACTTGCCATAATCTCAATCTCTTTACTTTTTTGTTTTCCCAAAAAATCATAGGAAATGCTGCGCCCAATACCGGTGGCGCTAGCTTCATGTACGAGATTCTTTGAGGCCATGTCTGCGATGAGAGAATCGTTCGCGACTCTTCAAGAACTTCGAGTTGGTAACTCTGTGGTTTCTGTACCAACAACACCAGGAGGTAACGAAATGACACATAGAGACTTAGATTGTGTGACTCCACCTCAAGGGAGAACAGAGTCAAGCTTCGACGACTTAGCTGTTCATAACACAAGGAGACAAAACAATGATCAAAATGAAGAAGAAGAAGAAGAAGAAGAAGAAGAAGATGGTAATAACAATTCGAACTGGAGACTATCTTGGCCTCCTTCTGTAAAAAGAGTAGCGTTTAAACAGTTGCTTTTGTTATTTGCTTGATCTGTTTAATATCGATCATGTTTTGTTTCATCAGCGTTAGTGTCCTTTATGGATTTACTTATTTCTATTTGAAATCTTTGAGTGAAACTTAAACAGTGCATATTTTGTTAACACTGGTTTTCATGGTCCATATGGCTATCATACAAAATTAAAATATTTCATAGATGTGGGAATTGTTTTAGTCGAGAAATCTAAAGATATTTAAAGATAGGTCTATGAATTTAAGCTAACTTTAATTGAGAACCGCTGCACTTAAATCATATTTTAGCAACCTAGTTACATAGCCCGGTCTGCACCTAATCATATCCGAACACCCAGCCTAGTCATTTGTGTATACAAAAACTTTAGGCCAAACGGAATCTTTAGGAGAGTAAGATACATAAAAATTAAAATACAAAAAAACGAAAGAAAAAAAAATTCATAAAAATTAAAATACAAAAAAAAGATACATAAAATCGACGTCGTTTTCATACCCGTACTGTCTGTGCAGTGGATTTTCATACCTGAACAATTTTGTAGGGTATTTTACAACCTAAACTTCGATAAAATTTGAATCTCATACCCTATACTTGATACAACGTGTAAAAATCGGAGTTAATCTAACGGCTATTAGTCAACTCCGTTACGGTGCGTATCGAAACGACGTCGTTTTGATATGTGTTCTCAAAGTTTTAAATTTTTTTGCAAAACTGGGGACTCGAACCCGCGAGCTGTAGTCACATGGGAAGCACCGAATACCAACTAATCCCACAACATTCATTGAACCCGCGAGCCGTAATCAAGGTTGAACCTGAAGTCAAGACAAAGATTCAAGAAAAGATGGGCATTCTTAAGGAAGGTGGGGCTGGTACCTATTTGGGATTACTGCTTTAGTGGATCAAAAGTTGACATGTTAGCTTACATCCAAGATAAAATGAAAGCTAGGATGTCAAGTTGGTATGCAAGAACATTGTCTCAAGGGGGTAAAGAGATTTTGCTCAAATCGGTAGCAATGGCTATGCCAGTGTATGCTATGAGCTGTTTCAAGCTTCCAAAAAAATCCTGTGAGAATTTGACATCAGCTATGGCGGCTTTTTGGTGGAATTCTACAGAAGATAAAAGGAAAATGCATTGGATAGGATGGGAGAAATTGTGTATCCCTAAGCACTTAGGTGGAATGGGTTTTAAAGATATCCAAATCTTTTAATCAAGCGCTATTGGCGAAGCAAGCATGGAGAATTCTACAAGATAATGACAGCCTTTTTGCTCGTTTCTTCAAAAGCAGATATTTTGATGAGGATAAGTTCATAAATGCTGAAATGGGTGAGAGACCTTCTTTTTCTTGGAGAAGTATTCTTCATGGTAGGGATTTGCTTAATAAAGGACTTAGACAAGTGATTGGAGATGGTGCATCCACGTTTGTTTGGACAACTCGTTGGCTCTTGGATGGTGTGATGAGAGCTCCTTTGATGAAGAATATTATTTTCGATTTGGATTTGCAGGTGAAAGATCTCCTGGATATAACTACACAAACTTGGGATATTGTTAAATTGCAGCATCATTTCTATCCTAGGGATGTGGAGTTAGTTCTAAAGATGAAACCAGTGATGTCTTCTGAGGATTTTCTTATTTGGGAACATACAAAAAGTGGTGCTTATTCAGTTAAGTCGGGCTACTGGTTTGCTTATCAAAGAGAGAAAGTTGATTTGCTCAGAGAAGCAATGATGCAGCCCTCAATACTCGCCATTAAAGACCAATTATGGAAGAGTAACACAGCCACAAAGATCCATAATTTCATGTGGAAAGCTGTAAGTGGTGGCATTCCGATAGTAGATAAAATGATTGCAAGAGGGTTGAATGTTGATTCAAGATGTCAGAGTTGTGGTCTAGAAGGTGAATCCATAAATCATGTCCTTTTTACCTGTTCGGTGGCAAGACAGGTTTGGGCACTGTCCAACTTTCCTTCTCCAGCAAATGGTTTTGATTCAGAATCCATTTTTCAAAATATCTACTATCTGATATTGGTAAGTAAGAACCCATATGTGTCTCTAGAAATTAGAAGAGCCTTTCCTTGGATATTGTGGCAGATTTGGAAAAACAGGAATTTATTCTGCATTGAAGGGAAAAGGTTAATTTTGTGCAACTGCAACTATTGACAAGATTAGAGACAATGTGAACCAATGGTTTCATGAGCAATCACTGGATGAAAGAGATGTGGTATCAGCAAGGATGAACCTAATTCCAGTAAAGAAACAATGGTCTCCTCCTCCCCATGATTGGCTGAAATGTAATCTAGGATCATCATGGGACAAAGTTTCTAAGACGGGAGGAACTGCTTGGGTTTTGAGAAATGAAAAAGGAGAAGTTTTGTTACATAGTAGAAGGTCCTTTGCTTCAGTTTTTTGCAAACTGGATGCAAGTCTACAATGTTGGAATTGGGCAATTGAGAGTATGAAGAGTCTCAATTATAATAAGGTTATCTTTGCTTCCGAAGATAAAGATTTGATAGGAGCTGTTTTAAGACCACTAGCTTGGCCGTCCTTCAAGTTTCATTCTCGGATTATAGGCGCAGCTTTAGAATATCTTTTGGAGTGGAAATTGTCTATGGAAGATAGAAGCTCAAACCTTGGTGCTCACCTTATTGCAAGGAGTGTCACAAGAGAGGATCGTCGTCAATCTTATGTAGCAACTGGTTTTCCATCTTGGCTGGGGAATGTTTTTGTAGCCGAGTATGTCTCTACTTTGTTGTAGCTAAAATGTTCTTCGGATGCTTTTGGCGAAGAGATTTTAGTTGTGTTGCTTTGGAGTCTTTATTACTAGCTTTCTCCCTGACTTTTAAGGTTTTTCTTTCCTTATTATGTTTGCCATTTTGGGTCTAGTTTGTTTTAGTCTCCGGAGAGATATTTGTTCCTCCGGCTTTTGGTTCCGAGGGTTGTCTTCAACTCGTCGGCTTTGTGTAAAGTTTTCAATGATCAATAAAATTTTCTAGTGAAAAAAAAAAAAGAAAAGTAAAGAAGCTGATTTTAAAATCCAGCGGACAAAATCTGCTGTGAGGTTTTTTCTTTCTAATCTCTCGCCCCCGAAAAAAAGTTGACGAAACTCTCTACCGGAGGCGCTAGTTTTCGCCGTCGGCGAGGCTATTTCATTTGCCTGAGGTGCGACGGTTTCTCCTTCGCTTCTTTTTTTCTGTTCCCGTTATTTCGTCTCTCATGTTAAGCTTGTTTGTGCCACTTCTTTGGGTGTATATATAGTTGGATTGGTCGCGGAAGAATCACGATTGCTTGTTCATTTCGATGTATCTAGGGTTTGTATGAGCATATGATTGATGAGAACTTGCTAGTAATTGACTGTCTGTGTGGTTAGTTGGCGTGAAAATGGATCGTGGAGATTTTTCTACTCTGCGCCGTCTGGTTTCTTTAGGTCGTGGGTTACTTAATGCGATTGGATTCAATTGGATCGTAGTTATAATCTGTTCGTTCACCTTGAAGTTTCTAGTCAACCAGTTAGGAAATGGTGTTGGTTTTTAGAGGCGCAGTGATAGATTTAAGTATGATCAGTTTGGAAACTTGCCTTTCTGGTGGTTTGAAACTTGGTAAATGAGATTGAAGATCTACGAAGTAATAGACAATTCTGGAATAGTATTGTGTTAGCACATTGGTAGGTTTGTGGTTCTGTGATTTTGGCTCCATGTATCTAGTAATTTTGAAGTTCCTGGTAATGATATCTCTGTTGCAAGAGACGAAGGAGTGTAAATTGTCAAAGAAAATAATGTATTCAGCTGTGCATTATCTTATAATTTTCTTATGTTCTCAGTCTTTTAGTTTATAATTTATGTCTGATGATAATTGTGCGCTCTGCTCATTACCTCAAATGATTAAAGTAATTTGCTATTTCTCCTTGCACAAGCAGGATGAACGAAGTTGATAAGCGAAAGGAAACGCCTGATGGACATGAAAAGCTTGTAAATGAAGGATCTGCTGCGCGAACAAGACCTACAAGCGTTGATGAGATTAGGCTAAGGAGGAAGAGGAAAGAGTCCTTGGAAAATGTGACAGAGGAAACTGTAGGAGTAGCCCAGTTACTGGGTAACGATCTTGTTGAGAAGGCTCCTGACTATCATGAGTCTGAAAAAGGGTATGATAGATCCAAGAATTTGAGGCATGAAGAACATGTTAAGGACAGTTCAAGAAAGAAAGAAGACGCCATTTCCAGTTCTATGGAAGAAAAACTAGAAAAACCGATGGAAGAGGACCCTATGGGAGCAGCTCAGTTCGCCTGTAAAGATCTTGTTGAAAAGGTTCCTGACTATCATGAGTCTGAAAAAGGGTATGATAGATCCGAGAAACTGAGGCATGAAGAGCTTGTTTTGGACAGCTCAAGAAAGAAAGCAGAGGTTATTTGTAGTTCTAGAGAAGAGAGACTAGATAAACCAATGAAAGATGTTCCTGTTGGAGCAGCTCAGTTACTGGGTAACGATCTTGTTGAGAAGGTTTCTGACTATCATGCGTCTGAAAAAGAGCATGATAGATCTAAGAAAGTGAGGCGTGAAGAACGTGTTAAAGACAGCTCAAGAAAGAAAGAAGACGCCACTTCTAATTCTAGGGAAGGAAAACCAATGAAAGAGGATCATGTGGGAGCAGCTCAGTTACTGGGTAACGATATTGTTGAAAAGGTTTCAGACTATCATGCGTCTGAAAAAGGGAATGATAGATCCAAGAAAGTGAGGCGGGAAGAACATGTTAAGGACAGTTCAAGAAAGAAAGAAGAAGCCACTTCTAGTTCTAGGGAACAAAGACTAGAAAAACCGATGAAAGAGGACCCTGTTGGAGCAGCTCAGTTACTGGGTAACGATCTTGTCGAGAAGGTTTCTGATTATCAAGCGTCTGAAAAAGGGCATGACAGATCCATGAAAGTGAGGCGTGAAGAGCGTGTTAAGGAAAGTTCAAGAAAGAAAGAAGAGGCTATTTCTAGTTCTAGAGAAGAAAAACCGAGGAAAGAGGATCATGTGGGAGCGGGATCAGCTCAGTTACTGGGTAACGATCTTGTTGATAAGGTTTCTGACTATCATGAGTCTGAAAAAGGGTATGATAGATCTGAGAAACTAAGGCGTGAAGAGCGTGTTAGGACCAGTTCAAGAAAGAAGGAAGAGGCCATTTCTAGTTCTAGGGAACAAAGACTAGAAAAACCGATGAAAGAGGACCCTGTTGGAGCAGCTCAGTTACTGGGTAACGATCTTGTCGAGAAGGTTTCTGATTATCAAGCGTCTGAAAAAGGGCATGACAGATCCATGAAAGTGAGGCGTGAAGAGCGTGTTAAGGAAAGTTCAAGAAAGAAAGAAGAGGCTATTTCTAGTTCTAGAGAAGAAAAACCGAGGAAAGAGGATCATGTGGGAGCGGGATCAGCTCAGTTACTGGGTAACGATCTTGTTGATAAGGTTTCTGACTATCATGAGTCTGAAAAAGGGTATGATAGATCTGAGAAACTAAGGCGTGAAGAGCGTGTTAGGACCAGTTCAAGAAAGAAGGAAGAGGCCATTTCTAGTTCTAGAGAAGAAAACCTAGATAAACGGAAAAAAGAGGAGGAGCCTGCTGCGAATAGAAAAAGGAAAGCAGAAGGAGAGAGCTCTACAGCTGAAACCAAATTAGTGGAAGAACATAGTAAGGATAGACGAAGAAAGAAAGAAGAAACTAATTTTAGTTGTAAGGAGGAAAGACGAGATAAAAAGAAGAAGAAGGAAGACAGAAAAATTGAAGGAGAATTACCTACAACTGAAATAATAACAATGACAGATAGAGATAGGCTTGGTGTGGATACCAAAATGAAGGAAAAAAAAAGAAAGCTCTGCTGCAAAGACAACTGAAAAGCAGATTCGTACAGACGAAACAGACAGTGAACAAGCAAGAAGTGCTCTTGAAAATTTATCCAGTAGTAGGAAGCGGCTTAGAAGTCTAGTGGTGACAGATAGACCTCGAGATGAAAATAGTATGAAACCTGACAATGGAAACAAGAGAAAGAATCAAAATGGAGATCATAAGAAGAATAGGGAGAGGAATATGTCAAAGAGGCATGATCCAGGAAAAGTTCACAGTGTTGAAGTTTCAGAGCGATGGCAAAAAAGGGAACAACCAAAATCGCATCAACGTGAAATGAGAAAGAAAAGGAGGAGATCAAGAAGTAGAGATCATGGGCAGGATAGACAGAAAAGGTCATCCCCCTTACCAAGGGCTCAAAAAGCTACATCGCGTCATAAGAGAGACCATGAGGAGCGATTGGAAAATGCTGTTACAGATAGGTCGGGAAAGCACCATTTTAATGATAATGGAAACAAAGTGGCAAGCACAGTAAATAACAAGTCTAAACGGTATAGTGCTTCCAAAAGTGAACTTGGTGGATATTCTCCACGGAAAAGAAGGGAGGAGGCCTCTGCCAAGGCTGTCTCACCACCTAATCTGTCTTCTGAAAAAAAAAGTGCTAAATGGGATCTTGCACCTGCTGTAACTGCTGCCATGTTTTCGGGCTCAGTTTTTTCTGGTCTCCAAGCAGCAGCTCAGACAGCGTATCCTACCAACAGTGAGGCTTCCTTGACGCTTTTGAAACCACTTATGGAGGCGCCTTTTAGGACGCCATCGGCAAGGGAGATCACGTCAGTTGATTCTGTTCAACTGACCGAATCCACCAGGCGTATGAGGAGACTTTACGCAGAAAATGTGTCGGATTCGGCCTCTGAGAAGTCTCTGATTGAATGCTTCAATAGCTATATGCTCTCTTCAGGCTCCAATCACATAAAAGGAAGCGAACCATGTATTAGCTGTATTGTAGGTTTTGGGTCTATGACTTCGTTATTCATATCACTCTCGTTATGTTTGTCGATTATAACACGTGATAGTATCTATGTCCTAATTGCAGATAAACAAGGAAAAAAGTCAGGCGCTAGTGGAGTTCCTTACACCACACGATGCCTCTGCTGCACTCTCCTTGGATGGCTGCTCCTTTGCGGGTTTAAACCTCAAAATTCGACGCCCTAAAGGCTATGTCGAGACAACAGTAAGAATTACAATCTCTACATTCTCTTTCTCTGAACTCTTGCCATCTGCTCCACATGTTTTAGTTTTTTATAGTAAGACAGCTCAAATATCTGCAATATATTTCCTTGTTTCATCAGTAAGATTCAAATGGTTAATGTTTTAAGCATGAATGCAAGTTGGCATTCAATTATTGTCATATATGACCGTTGTACGGTGCAAGTCTATGTTACACTATTCACAAGTAGAGAGTCATCTTTTGATCCAGATAGAGATTCAAAGTAAACAGACATAAAGAACTTAGCAAAACATCTGGACCAATATTGTAGAGCACATAAGCACGGTGTTGTCAATCCAAGTTCTCATTTACTGATACCTTTTCTCTGTTGAAGCAGCTTGATTGACTATGTTTGCCTTCTAAAATCAGAGAAATTAGGAGACTTATTTTTATTTTCATCGATTCATGATTCAGTCTTAGGTGTCATACCTGTGCGACTGCTTAAATCTACTCTGTTAGGCCCCAAAAATTGCTCATGGTCGTCTTTAAAGGCAATCTTGATGGAAGCATCATGCCACTTGTTCTAAAACTATGTGTTGCACTTAAAGAGTTTAGTAAATGTAGGATAGTTGATAAACAAAATCTGTTGATCTTACAACTGTAAGCAGATTTGGTGGGAAATATATTGTTTGGATTGCTTCAGTAAGGTTAAACCTTATATATAAGATTAAATATATTCCCAAGGATGGCCCTCTGAAAATATGAAATTTTGGGCGTAGTTGATGTAAATTCTATCATGGTTAAAGGAAAAGGATTTACGAATTTCCTCCTTTAGTTGCTTGAAGTTTTCATTACGTGATTCTCTAGCTGACTTTTGAAGTCAAAAGTGATTTGGAACTTGCAAAAGGTCTTTAGTCATTGAGGTACAATCTTATTCTTTAATTACAATTGGTTTGAAAAAGGCTTCTATGTGGCTTCACGTGCTGTTAAAATACCAACAATAGGCGAAACTAAGAATTAATGAAGTGTATGGATTCCTGCACTTGAAGTGATATGTTTTCAAGCCACATGTGAAATCGTATTCTGACTGTCGTGTGTTGGAATCTCTTAAATAGGGTGTTTATGTTGGGTATGTCATAATTCACATTCAGGAGGGTGATGAAGCTGTCTGGTAAATAAGAAGACTCCCAGGTGTAGTGACGAGTTTGTTGCGTTCAAGTTTCTTTCCATTTTTCTTGTCTCTTTTGGGCTTTTGGGAATTTATACAGATCATCCATTAAGATTCTTGTGTGTTATGGTTTACTGTTCTTGTGTTCTTTGTTCTTTTTATTTAAATTTTTTGGTATCATATGATATGATACCATATCAATCTGTTTTATTTTTGTTCTATTCCGACCTGAATATGGTTGTAGGACTACTCGGATAACTTGCTTAGGCAGTTAAAGATCTGCCTAGGATACTCTTTTTATTTTATTTATTTAACTGTTTGGCTATTTCTGTGTTTCATTCTTGAGCAGGATCAGATACTTGGTGTTTATGTTATCTCTATTCTTTTGTGATATAGCTCCTAAAATTTACATTCATTCCCTAAACTCGTACCACCTTCTCTTAAATGGATCCTCATTTGAGTCTAAGTGACCGAGGATTTTCGGCTGTGTAGTTGTACGAAAGTCTATGAAACATGACTGGGTTATCAAGGCTGTGGGACTTTGTCCTTCTATTTTGCCTTGTAAACCAGTACTGTGCATTTTGTTATGATTTCTGAGCTATGTTATGGTTACCATCCATGAAGCAGGTTTTCAGACGGTTGCTATTTTCATGCAGAGCGGTGAATTGGCGAAAAAGGAGCCAGCCACAAATGCAATAAGTGACAATGTGAAGGACTCATCGAACAAGGTAAGTTGATGCCCTAAATTTGCTTCTAACGACGGTGCTAAAATTTTTCACATTGAAATGAGTTTAGAATATCTTTTAAATATCTCTAAACGTATTTCCTTTATAAAGTACTTGTATAGGTCAGTGAGCCTTGGTATAGTTCAGATCAAATTTTAGGTTTGTGCGCTTAGTTTCGGTACCACGGTAATTTGAAACTCTTTCTTTAGAGACCAAAAACATTGGTATATATAAATTTGACTTGCTCCCTTCCATTCATGATGTGGGGCATATCTTGGAATCATTTTTCATGCTGACAGCTTTTATATCCTTTCCCGATTAGTAGCTTTTAAATGAAGAATAGAAAGTTTGATAGAGTTAAGAATGTAGGAATAAGATTCGGTATCAATAATTGCCAGCTTGTGGAAAGCCAAATGTCAGACCACCTATAATTTTAAACTGAAAAACACACTGAGATAGAAGTGAAATTCATCTGCGGCATCTTCATGGTTGACGATGTTGAAAGTGATTATCTGATTTTGTATATGCTAGTTGGTTGCTATTGATTTCTTTTTCTGTCAAGTTTGCTGTTGATTCTAATGTACTTGTTGCAGATCTTTATTGGCGGATTTCCAAAATCAATTTCATCTGAAATGGTATGTAGAGCTGTAATTCTTTGTTGACACGTTCAATCTCCAGTTGGTCCAATTTTTTCTTTTATTGTTACTAGTCTCTAACGTAGGATTGTATGATTCATCTTTTCTTTTTTCAGTTAATGGAGATTGTCAGCGTCTTTGGACCTTTGAAAGCATACCGGTTCGTGATCAACAATGATCTCAATAAGCGATGCGCTTTCCTAGAGGTTAGAAGATGTTTTTATCTTGACTTTCTTTGTGGCCAGTATTTACGATCACAGATCACTCTAATATTCCCTGAAGTTCAACGCAGATACCCCCATGTAGTCTGCTCTCTTGATGTAGTTCTTGTGATTGTTTCATATATATATTTGTTCATTTTCCGTGTAACATGGGAAGATGTTATTTTCCTCGTAACCGTAAAAGTGACTGTAGTTCCAAGTATCCGCATATTAACCCCCTTGCTCTTTTTACAATTTTATACCTCTGTACACTGATGGATCTGTTACCCTCAAAGCTTGTGCTGGCCTTAATGGTATGAAGTTAGGTGGCAGTGTAATAACTGCCGTTTGTGCATTTCCTGATGCATATCATCCATAGCGGTAATTCAGTGACCCATTTTTGTTCTTGTTAGTTCATGTTCTGTTGTATGGGAGACATAGAACCAAAATTCCTCTAGTTACTTGTGAGAGTGGTGTGTTATATAATACGTGTTGCAGGTGAATGAGAATCCACCATTCTATGGGATACCTGAGCATGCAAAACCACTTCTTGGCAAGCCCAAGTATATTCTAAGGCTTAAGAATGTGGTAAGTTCCGGTTTTTCGGGTATAGAAATGTTGGATCCGTTTCGATATCTCTTAATGTTCGGATCGGTTATTTCGGGTTTGGTTCAGTTTGAATTTTTGATTAAAACAAGAATTGTTGTAATGTTGTAAGAGATAAATTACGTGAGAGTGAAGAGACAAATGTTGATGGGCTAAATCTAAAGTTCTCTAAGTTATCCATCAACAACATTTACAAAATGTATATATTAATTGTATATAAGGTTTGTAAATGAGAAACAAATCAAGAAACAAGAGTTTGTAATCCTTAAGCTTATTTCTTAAGGTAAAAATATTTAAAATATATTTAAAAACTAAATATATGAAATTAAATACTCAAGTATCATATGATGATGTAAATAATAATAACAACAAAACAAAATTATTATTGAAATTATCGAAAACTTATGAAATTTGAATTCTAACAGTATATATTAAATTATGAAACAAAAAAAAAAAACAAAAAAAAAAAATAACAAAAAATTAAATAAATAAACAATCCCGCGGCGTAGCGCGAGTTCTAACCTAGTAGTAATAAAAGAAGTTGAGGACATTATACTACTTGAGTGATCTCTAAGCTTACGTCTGCCGTTTCTTTTTTGTTTACACCATTTGTTTATGGTTAAAAAATGATTAATTACAATTTTACATATACACAAAGAAAAGTTTATTATTGAAGTAAAAAGAAAATAATACTGTAGTTTATTGTCATCACCAAAAGTTTTTGAATATTTTTGAGTTTTGTTATTATTTTCCCGAAGACATTTTTGTATCCGGCACCGTCGAATTAAACCTCCGGAAAGCTTTGTAGAGAGATGTCGATGGGAAGCGATACGACGTGGGTTGGGAAGAAACCGATCAGGCGCATCGGCGGATTGTCTGATGCTCTCTCCATCGCCTCCGATCTCGGTTTCGCCGTTGCTCCTCCTCCGTCGCAGGTAACTTGCTAAATCGCTTCTCTTATTTACTGACATCTCACCTGAATCGTAATTTCATCTCCAATTTACTTTCATTAGCTGAGTATAGTATATACTCTGGTTGTTGCCGTAACATTGACGTTGCAGACGAAATGGTACCAAATAGATCTGTAATTTGAAGGAGAATATGTTTCAGAGGATTGGGGCAACTTTAGCTGCTTGTGAGTTATTCGAATTTTGATTTTTGTTTGGGACAAAGTAGATCTTTGATCTCTGGGCTTTAATACATATTGAATCTGAATTTGTTCCTGAATTCAATTGGCTACATTTGTAAAGAATTCGTATTTATATCAATCAGCTGCTTCAGTTAACAATGTGGTAAGCTGTAACACATATTGAATCGGCCTTGAGAGCTCAGTCATTTCCAATGTAGGAAGAATTACAAAGTTTGGCGTCTTCTAATGGCGAAAGAGGTGACGATTTGATTAGGGTCTTGAGAGAGTTATCTGCTGTTCAAAGGAAAATTGCAGATTTGCAGGTCGAGCTTCAAGGGAGGAAGGTATATTATTCAGAGTTTTGTTTCTCTTTCAAAGTGTAATAAGATATGGATCATAAAATCTGCATTGCGTAAAAGCTGCTTGATAACTTGTCACTAAATCTCTAACAGGTAATTTGTTAAATGCTTTGTATATTATAACTTCTTCGTTGACAAATTTCAGGATGATAAAAATGTGGCACATTTGACTCATGTGAGTGAAATGCAAAAGAAAATCGAGACCCTGTCAAGGATTACTCAAATATTGAAAGATGTTATACAAAACAAGGTAGAGATTTAGTTTCTTATCTAACCAGTTCATTATCTCTCTTTTCCGGATTTAAGCGACAATCTCTTTTATTCAGTATATACTTTATCGTTTTGAAAATGGAGAAACTGGAGTTCTTGTTTCAGATGTTTTGGGAACATTAGCTTCAATTCGTGAACCTCTAGTTGAAGTCCTTACATCATTTGTCTGAATATATAACAGGATCGCATCATTGCTCGTCTCCAACAACCTTATTCCCTAGATTGCATTCCAGTTGAAGCAGAATATCAGGTGAGCCATGATATTTGATAGTATTTGCTACTTTGAAAACCAATTGAGCCTTATTGCTCTAGGTTTCCTTAACTTGTTTTGGACCTGAAGTTGCACAAGTGGAAAAAGAAGATGCTCTATCTAATGGTTTTGTTCTGCTTTGGTTTTCAGAAACAATTTTCAGAGTTGCTAATGAAAGCTGCTAGTGACTATGGCGCCTTAACAGCATCAGTGTCTGATTTTCAGTGGAGCCAAAACTTTAAAGAACCTCCTTCGGTCTGGGGGGTATGATTCTACTCTCTTTTACCTGCATCTTTGTGTTTTTACTATTCGCATCTTTCAGACATAACTTCACATTACATATATTGGTTTACTCATCTCAGTTGGAATCTAATACATTGTTCATAGTGTAAGAGGAAAACTCTATACTAGGTTACACTACGCCATGCTATCACTTAAATCGTGTATAATTCATAGAATATATTTTGAAGAGTCACGTATATTATACAAGTCTAATGTGTAACCTCTGCATCCTCGAAAATAGATCAATTGTGTCATCGGGACCTTGAATTAGATTTCTCTTTTTTTAGTCTCTTTGCATAAAGAGAGAAAGAGATTGCCACTTTTATGAAATGTGTTGCATACAGTTGATTTCAGTTTTACATGCTATAATCTCAATCACCCTACTTTTTTGTTCCCCAAAAACAATAGGAAATGCTGCGTCCAATACCCGTGGCACTAGCGTCATGCACGAGATTCTTTGAGGCCATGTCTGCGATGAGAGAATCATTTGCGACTCTTCAAGACCTTCGAGTTGGCAACTCTGCAGTTTCGTTACCAACAACACCAGGAGGTAACGAAATGACACATAGAGACTCTGATTGTGTGACTCCACCTCAAGGGAGAATAGAGTCAAGCTTCGACGACTGAGCTGTTCAGACCAAACGGAGACAAAACAATGATCAAAATGAAGCAGAAGAAGAAGAACAAGAAGATGGAAATAACAATGCGAACCGGAGACTATCGTGGCCTCCTTCTGTAAAAAAGAGTAGCGTTTAAACAGTTGCTTCTGTCTTTGCTTTGAGGTTTTTAATATCGATTGTGTTTTGTTTTTATCAGCATTAGTGTCCTTTATGGATTTGAATCTATTTGAAAATCTTTGAGTGAAACTTAACAGTGTATATTTTGTTAACCTTGGTTTTCATGGGCCACATGGCTATCATATAAATTAGAATTTTCATAGATGTGGGAATTGTTTTAGTCGAATATTTAAAGATGGTTCACTAAAAGAATTAGATATAAATTCATAAGCAGAATGCGTTCAACTTATTAATTCGTATGGTCTAAATAGTATAGAGTGTAGACCATGAATTTAAGACAACTTTAATTTAGTTGAGAACCGCACCTAGTAATATTTTAGCAATGAAGAATGAAGAATGAAGAATGAAGAATGGGACTCCCTGGTGCATACACTTGCGAAACGAAAACTCCACTCCAACGAAAATCTCTCAGGTAGGTATTTTATTGAATCATGGATTATCGATACCGGTGCATCTAACCATATGACAGGTACTCTTGATTTTCTAATTGATGTTCGGGATATGGCTCCGGTGCTTATTAAACTATCGGACGGTCGTTTCACTACGGCTACAAAACAGGGCCGTGTCTCACTTGGTTCTGCTTTGTGTCTTCAAGACGTGTTTTTCGTTGATGGATTGCAGTGTCATCTCATCTCAGTTTCACAGTTAACTAGAGAGCGCGGTTGTGTGTTTCAGATAACTGACAGGCTTTGTATTATTCAGGATCGTATCACCAAGATCCTGATTGGCGCGGGTGAGCAAGAGAATGGTCTTTATTTTTTAAGAGGAGTTGAAGTAGCTGCAGCCGTAAATTCAGTGGATTCATCATCTATGGAATTATGGCACTCACGCTTAGGACATCCTTCTTCTACGGCTTTGGATAAGATTAAGTTTTTGAATTTTCATTCTAAATTTGATTCTACGGCGTGTGACGTTTGTATCCGCGCTAAACAGACAAGAGAGTCTTTTCCTTTAAGTTATAATAAGACGAGTGTTGCTTTTGAACTTATTCACTGCGATCTTTGGGGTCCTTACCGCACTCCATCTCTTTGCGGCTCTCGCTATTTTCTTACAATTCTTGATGACTATTCAAGAGCGGTTTGGATTTATTTACTCCCTTCGAAACAAGAAACACCTACGCAGCTCAAGAATTTTATTGCTCTTGTTGAACGTCAATTCTATACTAAAGTAAAGACAATCCGTAGTGATAATGGCTCCGAATTTATTTGCTTAAAGGACTACTTTGCTCAACATGGGATCATACACGAAACTTCTTGTGTTGGAACTCCACAACAAAATGGACGCGTTGAACGCAAACACCGCCATATCTTAAACGTTGCTAGAGCTCTTCTTTTTCAAGCAAATCTTCCTATTGAGTTTTGGGGTCATTGTGCTTTAACAGCAACCTATCTCATAAATCGGACTCCCACTCCAATTCTCGATGGTAAGAGTCCTTTTGAGCTCATATACAACCGTTCTCCACCAATGAATCACATTCGCGTCTTTGGTTGTCTATGCTACGTCCATAACCAGAAACACGGAGGTGATAAATTTGCAACTCGAAGTACTAAGGCAGTCTTTATCGGGTATCCATTCGGCAAAAAGGGTTGGCGTGTCTACAATCTTGAGACTGGTGCTGTCACTGTTTCTCGCGATGTCATCTTTCGGGAATCAGTTTTTCCCTATACAATTGAACTTCAAAATAAGCCGTCTACTTCACCACAATTCAATGTGGATAAAGCTCCGACTCTGCTTCAAGACATCGACGATTTCGATGTAGACCAGCCTCACTCGTCACCTGCAGTTCAGATTTCAGAAAATGCAGTTCAGATTTCAGAAAATTCAGAAAATGCAGTTCAGATTTCAGAAAATTCAGAAAATGCAGTTCAGAATTCAGACAACACATCTACGAACCTGCAAGATCATGTCTATGCCTCGTCGTTTCCATCTTCTGCAGTCAACACACCAACACCTGCAGCATCAAATGAAACAGTTGACGTACTCAAAAACAAATCTCCGACTGATCATGCTGCAGATTCTGGCCCCGAAACAGAGCAACTTGGTTTCAGTTTTAGGAAGAAACAACCACCTGTGAAGCTCGCCGATTACATCACTTCTTGTTAGTTTCTTTACCAAGTTATCATCTCAGGTTGCTAAAGATTCAGTCTTTTGAGTTTGTTGA